CTCCCAGCCTCTCCTTTTTTTCTTTTTTTTCTTTTTATTCTGGGATTTATTTACCTTCTATAATTGAAACTTTGTTGCCTTTTGCGGAGGCCACAGCTGGCTCAGGGCCGGGGAGGAAGCTTGGCTTCCTCCATCGCCTGGGCAACCAAGTCTCCTGCTCGCTCCAGCGCCATAGCTGTCAGCCGTCATCTTAGTTGGGTTAATTTGCATATTGTCATTCTGATTGGTTGGTGGGTGTGGCTTAAGGTGTAGCGAAGGTACGGTCAATTTGCATGTTTGTCTTTTATTAGTGTCGATAATGCTTTTAAAATATATTAAAAATGAAGAAATAATTTTTAAGTAATAGTATTGGGATAGCTAGATAACAATATGGATAAAAATAAAATTGGGTTCATTTTGCCCACTAAGATAAATTTGAATTAGATCACATTTAAACGTAAGAAATGAAACCATAAAGTATTGTGAATTTAAAAGATGGGGTTGAGGGGAGTTTGAATTCTTCTGCACCTTAGGAATAGAGAAAAACTGTCCTAACTATGACTTGATCCAGAAGCAATAAGGAAAAATATTGATAAATATTAGATCATCCCAAAAAAGCCATATGGCAAAAAATAGACAAACTGAGAGAAAACATCTGCAACTTATTTCACAGATGAACAGTTAATATCTAGAACTTCTAAAAATAAAAGAAATAATGTCTAACCACCTTACAGAAAAATGAGCTAAAGATGAGCCAGTTCCCAGAAAAGGAAATGGTCAACCATGCTCATAAAATGTATATTAAAATTACATAATATGCCATTTCTTAACTATTAGATTAGCAAAAACCCAAAATTTGACAGTATACTCTTTTGGCCAGGCTGTGAATAATAGGCATTCACATACTTCTAGTGAAAAACAATGAAGGAGAGAGTATATGGCAATATCTTTCAAAATTATATATACATTTGTCCTCTGACCCAGCAAACTTACTTCTAAGTCAAAGATATTATCAGCAAAAATACAAAAAGAGATCTGGCCGGTTTTGCTCAGTGGTTACAGCATCAGCCACGGACCAGAGAGTTGCAGGTTCAGTTCCCAGTCAAGGTCATGTACCTCAATTTCAGGCTCAATTCTTGCCCTGGGTCAGGGCCCATGTGGGAGGCAACCAGTTGATGTGTCTCTCTCACATCGATGTTTCTCTCTCTTGCTTCCCTTTCTCCCTTTCCTTCCCTTTCTTCCTTCTACTCTCTAATAATCAATAGACAAATATCCTTGGGTGAGGATTTAAAAAAAATACAAAAATATATATGCACAAGGCAATTCATTGCAAATGTTCAGCAGTAAGAGACTGGTTGATAAACTATTTAATATATGATGATAAACTATGCATTTATAAAGCACAATGAAGAAGATATCTATATTTTTATGGTTCTTTGAAAATATTCACAAAAGTGAGAAACCTCTAGCTATACAGTATAAGAATAAAAAGAGAAAATTCAAAGTACTAAAATCAGGAATGAAAGAGGGGACTTTACAGAATTCAAAAGGATTATAAGGGAATGCTATGCACAACTCTGTGTCAACAAATTAGATAACCTAGATGAAGTGGACAAATTTCTAGAAAGACACAAGCTGACAAACTGATATGGTAATAAGTAGCAAGAAATAGAAATCCAAATTGACCTTTAACAAGTAAAACATTTGAATTAATAATAAAAAAAATTCTTCCAAAAACACAGAATAGCTCAAGACCAGACAGATGACTTTACTGTGAATTCTACAAAACATTAAAAGAAGACTTAGCGACAATTCTTTAAAACACTCCAAAAAATAGAAGAAAGAAGACTTCTCAACTCATTCTATGAAGCCAGTATTATCCTAATACCAAAACCAGATAAAGACATCACAAGGAGGGAGGAACACTATAGACCAATAATCCCTATGAATAAAAATAAATATCACTATGGACACACAAATTTTCAACCAAATACCAGTAACGTGTAAAGAGGATTATACACTACTAGAGGCCCAGTGCACGAAATTTGTGCATGGTAAAGGGAGTGTCCCTCAGCCTGGCCTGTGCCCTCTCACAATCTGGGACCCCTCGGGTAGGGTCCCTAGGCCTGGCCAGTGATCAGGGCCTATCGAGGATTTCCTTCCCCCGGCTGGCGGCCGGCAGCTGGCAGCAGGCCCCACCCCCACCACTGCCACTGCTAGCCATCTGCGGCCCTGCCCTCTACCCCCGCCACCAGTCGCCTCCCTCTGTGGGTGACAGGCATAGAGTGTGATCGCTTGGCTGGCCTGGGCCACCCTCTGTGGGATGATCGATCACGGGGCCACCAGATCAATCGCCCCGAAAAGGGAGGCCCCACCCACCCGGCCGGGGCTCCATGATCGATTGCTGTGCAGAGAGTGGCCGGGGCCTCCCTCTTTGGGGCAATTGGGCAATGGCGGGGCCCCCCGACCAATCTCATCGCACCTGCCTTGGCTGGCCTGGCGCCAGTGTGTGTCATAGCGTGGTCGTCCGGAAGGTCGTCCAGATGGTTCTGCTGTTTGGTCAATTTGCATATTGCGCTTTTATTATTATAGATGGCCAAATGGGATTTATCCCAGAAATGCAAGATTGGTTCAACATTTAAAAGAATTAAGAGTACTGCACCACATTAACAGAGCAAAAGGAAAAATAGATACATGTGGCTTAACTAGAAGTAAAAGGAAATATCTTTGATCTGATAAAGAGCATCTAGTCTAGGGAGAGACCAAGATGGCGGCATAGGTAAACACCGCAGACTGCTGCCGCAAACAACCACTTCAAAAATACAACTAAAAGACGGAACGGACATCACCCAGAACCACAGGAAGGCTGGCTGAGGAGAGACTCTTCAACTAGAAGGAAAAATAACAGCACACCGAGGCTCAGAGGAGGCGCAGTGTGGAAAAAACTCAGGTGCGGAGGTGCGCGCGCAAAGCGGGCTGGTGGCTTAAAGAGCATCTATAAGCCCACAACTAAAATTATACTTTAACAGCAAAAAACTGAAAGCTTTCTCCCAAGATCAAGAACAAAACAAAGGTATCTCCTCCTATCACTTCCATTCAACCTTGTACTGTAGGTTTAAACCTGGACAATTAGGCAAGAAAAAGAAATAAAAGATATCCAGGTTAGAAAGGAAGAAATAAAACTGTTTATAGATGAAATGATCTTATATATAGGAAATCTTAAAGAATTCACACATACATACACATACAATTATAAAGGCTCATAAATGAACTTAGCAAAGTTACTGGATACAAGATCAACATACAAAAATCAGTTGTATTTATATACTAGCAATGAACAACCTGAAAATTAAATTAAGAAAGCATTTCCACTTGCAATAGCATCAACAAGAATAAATTACTTAGGAATAATTATAACAAAAGAAGTGGAAGATTTGCACTGAAAACTATAATATGTCATTGAAAGAAATTAAAAAAGACCTAAATAAATGCAAATGGCAACCCATGATTGTACCTTAGAAGATTTAGTGTTGTTAAGATGGTAGTACTTCTCAAATTGACCTACAAAGTCATCACAATCCCACCAGTCTTTTTTCCACAAATTGACAAGCTGATTCTGAAATCCACATAGAAAGGCAAGGGACCCAGAACAGCCCACACTATCTTGAGAAAGAACAAAGATGGAGAACTTATACTTCCCAATTTTGTAACTTGCTACAAAGCTATAGTAATCAAGACATTGTGGTTCTCGCTAATATAAAGATAGAACAATGGAGTAGAATTGAGAGTTCCATTGATTTTTTACAAGAGTGCCAAAATGATTTAATGAGGAAAGAATGGCCTTTTAACAAATGGTACATGACATCAAAACCAGAAGCCATAAAAGAAAAAAATACATAAATTGGATTTGTCAAAATTTAAAACTTTTGTTCTTTAACAGACACTATTAAAAAAATGAAGACCACCCACAAAATGGGAGAAAATATTTGCAAATTATCTGATAAGGGTCTCTAGCATCTAGGATATTTGAAGAACTCTCACAATTCAACAGTAAAAGAAACGGCCCAATTTTTTAAATAGGTAAAAAATTTGAATAGCCCTAACCGGTTTGACTCAGTGGATAGAGCGTTGGCCTGCGGACTGAAGGGTCCTGGGTTCGATTCCAGTCAAGGGCATGTACCTTGGTTGCGGGCACATCCCCAGTGGGGGGTGTGCAGGAGGCAGCTGATCAATGTTTCTCTCTCATTGGTGTTTCTGATTCTCTGTCCCTCTCCCTTCCTCTCTGTAAAAATCAATAAAATATATTTCTAAAAAAAAGATTTGAATAAACATTTGTCCAAATAATTATACAAATGGCCCATAAACACATTAAAAAGATGCTCAATATCATTAGTCAATAAGGAGATGTAGTTCAAGATCACAAAGAGATATACCACTTCATACTCACTAGAATGACTCATCAAAAAGAAAATAACAGGTGTTAGTAGGATTGTGAAAAATTAAAACCTTCATGTTGCTGATGGGATTATAAAATAGTACTGCTGCTTTCAAAAATGGTTTGACACTTTCTCAAAAGTTAAATGTAGAGTTAGCATCACAATTCCACTCTTAGGTTTATACCCAAGTGAATTGAAAACATCTACACAAAAACTTGTTAAAGAATATTCATAGCAGCCCTGGCCAGTGTGGCTTGGTTGGGTGAACATCGTCCCTTGCACCAAAAAGTCACTGGTTAGATTCCCCAGTCAGGGCACATGCTCAGATTGTGTATTCAGTCCCTGGTCTGCAGGAGGCAATCATTGATGTTTCTCTCTCACCAATCTCCCTCACTCTCTCTCTCTATCTCTCTCTCTCCCTCTCCCCCCCCCCTTCCTCTCTAAAATCAATAAAAACATTAAAAAAAATTTTTTTCAAAATATATTTATGGCACCATCCTATATAATAAAAGGGTAATATGCAAATCAACCAAACGGCAGAACTGATCACTATGATGCACACTGACCACCAGAGTTCAGCTTTTTATTGAATGTGTTACAAAAGAGGTTTGTTTAGTCAAAAAGACCAAAGCCCATGTCAGACTCCTCAGATTCTTCTTTCTCTGCTTCCACTTTCTTCTCTTCAGTGGGGCAGCAGTGGTGGAGGGGGTAGGACCTCCTGGTGCAGCACTACTGCTGGGGCAGGTCCACCAGCCCTTGCTGCAAAGGAGGTTCCCAGTGTTGACATTAGTCAGAGCCTTTGCAAACAAACCTGGCCAGAAAGGTTCAACATTCACACCAGCTGTTTTAATGAGGGCACTGATCTTATCCTCCATTACTGGCACTTCACATGCAGGCGAGCTCTGAGACCAGGCCATGGAGCGAGCAAGTGCTGGGTGAGCACAGCCAGGAGCGGTGCTGGTCCCCAGATGAAGTGAGGGCCTCACCCCAACTAGGCCTTAGTGCTTCCAAAGGACCAAGCACTTACCAGTAGATGGGGAAGGGGGCGAAAGATTTATTCTGTATCTTGATTGTGATGGTGCTATCCACAAGATTAGCAGACATTTGGTCCACACCCAAAGGTTCTTAATATTTGCTCCTGTCCAAAACACCCATAGAGACTTTTGGTCCATGCCAACCCATCTAGGCTACCTAGGCAAGGAGAGGTATTGTTGGCATATAGCCACATGCTATTATCCTATATAATAAAAGCCTAATATGCTAAGTGTCCAGTCATCTGGGTGGCTGTTCAGCCAGTCAAAGTGTAATATGCTAATGATATGCTAAGGCCGCTCAACCACTTGCTATGACGTGCGCTGACCACCAGGGGGCAGACAGTTGACCGGTCAACCAGTTGCTATGACATGCACTGACCACCAGGGAGAAGATGCTCCGACTGGTAGGTGAGCTTGCTGCGGGGTCCAGCTGATCAGGACTGAGTGAGACAGGCCGGACATGCCCTGGAGCCCTCCCGTGGCCCCTCCCTGGCTGGCCAATCTCCTGCGTCCCTCCCCGGCCCCGTGCACCAGTGGGGTCCCTTGGCCTGGCCTGTGCCCTCTCGCAATCTGGGACCCCTGGGCGATGTCGGAGAGCCGGTTTCAGCCCAAACCCCCAGGCCAGGCCGAGGGACCCCACTGGTGCACAAAATTTTGCACCAGGCCTCTAGTTGAATTAATAAAACCTGGTATATCTTTTATGTGTTAATCCTGTAAACCAAAAGCACAAATAAGTGCTATGGGCTGTTTAAGGCCAGCAGCATTGTCTTACGCATGGACATTTTGGACAGGACCAAATATGAAGGAACATTTGGCATGGACAGAATATGCTTTGAAATGAACTATTGTATAGTATAGGGTAATTAAAACAGAATTGGTTGTGGTTATAAGCAAGTGTGTTATAATTAAAAACATTTTATACCATATAATTACATTTGTGAAGTTACTCTGATAAAGTTTTGTTTTGTTTTTATTTTGTTTTTTTTTAGGATGAGAGAGGCTGCTAGAAAAATAGAAGAAAGACATTTTTCCAACCATGCAACACATGTTGAATTTCTGCCTGTTGAGTGGCGGTCAAAACTTACTCTTGATGGAGGTACATTATGTTGAAAAGTTACATGATTTGGCCCTGTTCAGGATGGCTCAGTGATAGAGCACTGGCCCACACACCAAAGGGTCAAAGTTCGATTCCTGGTCAAGGGCATTTACCTGGCTTGCAGGTCCATCCCAGGCCCGAGTCAGGCATGTAGTTAGAAGTCCAGTGCACTATCCATTATACAATGGAGCCACCTTAACTTGTCAATACTCTTAAAACATATTGTCGCAATTCTTTTTTTTATTAATGATTTCAGAGAGGAAGGCAGTGATAGAAACATCAAAGATGAGAAAGAATCATTGATCGGCTGCCTCCTTAATGCCCCCTACTGGGGATCGAGCCCGCCACCTGGGCATGTGCCCTTGACTGGAATCGAACCCAGGACCCTTCAGTCCATGGGGCCGACACTCTATCCACTGAGCCAAATCAGCTAGGGTACAATTCTTTATTAGCTTACATTCTCTTCCTAATAATTTTCCCCCTATATTTGGAAGGTAAAATATCAGGTTTTTTGTTTTCTTTTGTTGTTTTTCTTACATTCCCTGGGCTGGTAATATTTAAGTAAATCATGTTTATTTCCTTCCTTGAAGAATTGTTAGCCAAAATATGCATATTTTAAACAAAATGTATTCTTTCAGTATGAAAACCATTAAAATAGAATGTTTAGGTTATTTACATAACCTGGAAAATGAGAGAATTGTACTAGATACAATAGCAGCTGCCATTTGTGGAGCCTTTGCTGTGCCTGGCACTTTGCAATTCATTTTTCATGGAGTATCTCAATTTTCTCATAAATATGAGAAATACTACATTATTTTCTCTATTTTACTCTTAAGGAAACTGAAACTCAGTAAAAGGTGAATTTACCTAAGAATAGTAAGCAGAGTCTAGCTTTGCTTGATACCAGAGCCCTTATTCATTCACATTGCTAAACTGCCTCCCTGGATGATTTTCAAGTCAGATTCTGTCTCATAGGCAGGAATGTCAGTTATACCTAATAGACCAAAATGGCATCAAAAGTTGCAATAACGGTAAAACAAAAATGCTAGTGATCAAAGAAGACTTCATAGCAGCAATAGCTCATATATAAAAATTGTAGTATAAAAATACTATCTTTTGTGCTTTTCCCACTCATTCAGATAAGTTTCTTGGGCTAGTCAGGAATGTAGACAACATAGATGAATTCATGTTTAATAAAATCCTCAAGAGTTTGTAATTTTTTGTTAGATTTAAATTATTAGGATAGAATCTTGAAGGTGCCATTATTCTGAGTAAAAGAAGCTAAAGGAAAAACACCACTCTCCATTCTCAATATTTCTGACACCAAATAAAGGTGTGTGGCGGGGGGTGATTATCCCCCTACCACCAATTGTCTAATTCTTGGTGCACACCAACTGGGTGTCCAACAATTTAACTCAGTTCTGACACTACCCAGATATAGCACAGACAGATTAAAGGCACAGTTCCACAAGACTCTCCTCACTTCAGATGCCAATCACAAGTCCCAGATTGATGCCTGCTATAATTTGGGGGGTCCTATGACCCCATCCTGAGGTTTAATTTACTAGATCTACTTTAAAAAATTCAGGAAACATTTACTTATATTTACTGGTCTAAAGGATATTACAGAGAATATAGATGGCCCTAGTCAGTTTGGTTCAGTGGATAGAGCATTGGCCTGCAGACTGAAGGGTCCTGGCTTTGATTCTGGTCAAGGGAACATACATCAGTTGCAGGCTCCATTTCCACCCCTGGTAGGGGAATGTGTAGGAGGCAACCAATCAATGTATTTCTCTCACATCAATGTCTCTGTCTCTGTCTCTCTCTCTCTCTCTCTCTCTTTCTCTCTTTCTCTCCCCCCTCTTCCTTCCACTCTCTCTAAAAGTCAATGGGAAAAAATCCTCCGGTAAGGATTAACAAAATACATACATACATATATATATATTTATATATACTGTATATATATGTTCACCTATGTGGAAGTTATCCAGTCCCTGTTGTTTAGGGGTTTTATGGAGCTTCCATTATGTAGACATAAGTGATTAACTAATTGGCTGTTGATGATTAACTCAATCTCCAGCCTTTCCCCTTCCCAGAGGTCAGGGGATGGGACAGAAACTTCAACCCTGTCTAACTACATGGTTGGTTCCTCTGGCAACCTACCCATCTTCCAAGAGTCACCTCATTAGCATAAGCTTAAGTATAATTGAAAGAGGCTTATTATGAATAATAAAAGACATACCTGTCACCCCTATCACTCAGGAAATTACAAGGATTTTAGGAATCTTGAGCCAGAAACCGGAGACAAAAACTATAAATATATGTTTGTTATTATACAGTCTCACAGAAACCAATCTCAAAGGTTGCATACTTATGCTCCACATATGTGGCATACTGGAAAAGGCAAAACTATAGGGACAGAGAACAGATCAGTGGATGCCAGGGTTACAGGAAGGCTAGGGTTTGAATTAAAAAGGGCAGCATGTGGGAGTTTTTTAAGGTGATGAAACAGTTCTGTATCCTGATCATGGTGATAGTTATGTAAAACCATATATGCATTAAAACTAAGAGTTATTTGCCATAGCCAGTTTGGTTAGGGTCCAGCAGACTGAAGGGTCCCAGGTTCAATTCCAGGCAAGGGCGTGTACCTCTGTTGCAGGCTTGATCCATGCAGGAGGCAACCAATCAATGTGTCTCTCTTACATCAATGTTTTTCATTCTCTGTTTCTCCCCCTCCCTTCCACTCTCTCTAAAAAAGGAGTCAATGGAAAAATATCCTTGGGTGAGGATTAACAACATAAACAACACCAAAAACCTAAGAGTTGTTTTTACTGTTTATAAATTTTTAAATAATGATAAAAGGTATTTACCTATAGCAAACATCATTTTTAAGTTCCTAGAAATAAATCTAATAAAATATGTACATTGATATTAAAAATGAAAAAAACTGTTACAAGATATTAAATACAAGTTAAATAAATATAAAGGTAATTTTCTTAGATTTCATGACTCAGTATCTTAGAGTTGTTAATTTTCCGAAATTGATTTCTAGATTTTATGCACTTCTAATCAAAATCCTAATAGAGTTTTTCCTGAAACTTGGCAAGCTGATTCTAAAATTATTATAGAAGAGCAAAGGTTCCAAAATAGCCAAGATACAGAACAAGAGGGGAGGAGGGGAGTCATGTTGGTACAAGGATAGGCCAGTGCACTAGACTAGAGACTCTGGAAAACAAACCTGCACTTAGAAAACAAACCTGATATATGACTGAGCTGGTATTATAGATCATTGGTGAAAGGATGGCCTATTCCATAAATGGTATTTGGTAACTGGTTATTCTTTGAGGGGAGAGGGGAATAAAAACAATCCCTACCTCACATTCCAAATGGATCAAATATAATATGTGAAAGCCAGGACATTAGAAAAATATGAGAGTATCTTCTTAAGACAGGAAAACACAACTACAAAGTAACGTGGGTAAACTTGATTAAAATTATCTCAGTAGACATAGAGTGACAGACAAACCACAAACTGAGACAAGAGCTTGCAAAAGAGCAACAGATATAGCCACCAAAGTTTTAATATCCAGAATAAAAAAAGAGAGCACTTGAAGAGATTATATATATATAAAATATGTATATGTTTTATATGTTAATATTTTAAAATATTTTATATACTATATATAATATGTATTTCACTAGTGTAGTAATAAAGGAAGTGCAAATTAAAACCACAGTAAAATATCATTGACAACCTATCAGTTTAGCAAAAATTTAAGGTGAGGCTGTGCATCAATGAGGATGTGTAGCAGTGAGGATTTTCATTCACTGTTGTTGGGAATGTAAATTGGTACAATCACTTTGGAAGACAGTTTGACATTATCTTGTAAAGTCGAATGTGTATGTGCCCTATGACACAACATTTTCACTCCTAGATATATATACCCTAAGGAAAATCTTACACGTGTGCACCAGGAAACATAAAACAGTGTTATTAGGAGCATAGAACTTCTTTGTATTTCTATAAGAAATGCAAATTTTTCTGCATCTCTAATCATCTTATTAAGCGTTTAATAGAATAGTCTTCCCATGGTAGAATTTCCATAAATTAGCTGTAACTCAGAGGCTGCACATATTTGCAATACAGTTTATGTGACAGGTTTTTTTTCCTTACTTACACCAACTTTATCTTGTTTACTGCAGTTGCCCATTGCGGATTTGCCTTTGTGCATATTTTTAATTTGACAGCTCTTCCTCGTAGGATCTTTATTTTACTAAAAATCAATAAGTGTAAAGTGTAAAGAAACTTTTTAATTTGTTGCTGGTTTGCCACCAGTGCCTCTAGGCATTCCACATGGGTATTGCCAGGCCCAAGGTGCATAGTCCAAAAAAAGAAAAGAAAGGAAACAGAAAATGAGGTACAGAAAGAGTGAGATTGTGTCCCTTAACACCTGTTTCAGGAATAGAGATGGCCTGGTTTTGCTCGGGGACCCCTGAATATCATGGAAACGCCAGTACAGAAAATGGTCAGGCTTCATAGATTTGACAATGGCCTTCATCCTTTAATGTTCTTTCTCTTCCCCTTTTTGTCTTTTTTTCTTGCTATATTTTGCAAGGAAAAGATCATTAGATCCAAAATTAGTCTTGCATATTGAAATGTTAACTTAAAGAGCTGTGATTTCAGGGAATGTAATTTTTTTCACAATTTATTTTTCCCCTAAGACAGATATCTTCTGTAAGTTTGTTTGTTTTTTGTTTGTTTGTTTGTAGACACTGTTGATTCCATTACTCCTGATAAAGTACGAGGTTTAAGGGATATGTTGAACAGCAGTGCAATGGACATAATGTATTATACTAGCCCACTTTATAGAGATGAAGTAAGTATAATGATTACCTTATTTACAAACACACACACACATACACACACGTATCATTGGTAGTACTCCTCAGAAGGTATCCTGAATGTTCAGACTAAAACGTACTGAGACGTGTCCCCAAAAGTAATAATAAGGGTTTGTTTTTGTTTTTTAAGTTGACATTAATAGCAACAGAAGCTAGAAAGAGAAAAGCGTCAGACTCAAACCTCTGGCCATTGGCTAATGACTAAGAAAGTGGTCACTTCTATTTTGCTCTTATAATCTTTAAAGATAATTATCCTCAGGATGGAATTAAATAGAAGATATTTAATAGGAAGAGGGAAATGGAAAGAGAACACCCAGTGTTTTAAATTAGTTTTTTATTCAGTTGAATTTCATGGAAAAGCGCTCAGAACTTGTGACTGAGATTCATTAGCAGTCTTTAGCAATGTTTCCTGAATATCCCTAATAAGATGAATTACTTGGGCCCTAGCTGGTTTGGCTCAGTGGTCAGAGTGTTGGCCTGCAGATTGAAGGGTCCCCGGTTCGATTCCAGGGGGCGTGCAGGAGGCAGCCTCAGTAGACATAGAGTGACAGACAAACCACAAACTGAGACAAGAGCTTGCAAAAGAGCAACAGATATAGCCACCAAAGTTTTAATATCCAGAATAAAAAAAGAGAGCACTTGAAGAGATTATATATATATAAAATATGTATATGTTTTATATGTTAATATTTTAAAATATTTTATATACTATATATAATATGTATTTCACTAGTGTAGTAATAAAGGAAGTGCAAATTAAAACCACAGTAAAATATCATTGACAACCTATCAGTTTAGCAAAAATTTAAGGTGAGGCTGTGCATCAATGAGGATGTGTAGCAGTGAGGATTTTCATTCACTGTTGTTGGGAATGTAAATTGGTACAATCACTTTGGAAGACAGTTTGACATTATCTTGTAAAGTCGAATGTGTATGTGCCCTATGACACAACATTTTCACTCCTAGATATATATACCCTAAGGAAAATCTTACACGTGTGCACCAGGAAACATAAAACAGTGTTATTAGGAGCATAGAACTTCTTTGTATTTCTATAAGAAATGCAAATTTTTCTGCATCTCTAATCATCTTATTAAGCGCTTAATAGAATAGTCTTCCCATGGTAGAATTTCCATAAATTAGCTGTAACTCAGAGGCTGCACATATTTGCAATACAGTTTATGTGACAGGTTTTTTTTCCTTACTTACACCAACTTTATCTTGTTTACTGCAGTTGCCCATTGCGGATTTGCCTTTGTGCATATTTTTAATTTGACAGCTCTTCCTCGTAGGATCTTTATTTTACTAAAAATCAATAAGTGTAAAGTGTAAAGAAACTTTTTAATTTGTTGCTGGTTTGCCACCAGTGCCTCTAGGCATTCCACATGGGTATTGCCAGGCCCAAGGTGCATAGTCCAAAAAAAGAAAAGAAAGGAAACAGAAAATGAGGTACAGAAAGAGTGAGATTGTGTCCCTTAACACCTGTTTCAGGAATAGAGATGGCCTGGTTTTGCTCGGGGACCCCTGAATATCATGGAAACGCCAGTACAGAAAATGGTCAGGCTTCATAGATTTGACAATGGCCTTCATCCTTTAATGTTCTTTCTCTTCCCCTTTTTGTCTTTTTTTCTTGCTATATTTTGCAAGGAAAAGATCATTAGATCCAAAATTAGTCTTGCATATTGAAATGTTAACTTAAAGAGCTGTGATTTCAGGGAATGTAATTTTTTTCACAATTTATTTTTCCCCTAAGACAGATATCTTCTGTAAGTTTGTTTGTTTTTTGTTTGTTTGTAGACACTGTTGATTCCATTACTCCTGATAAAGTACGAGGTTTAAGGGATATGTTGAACAGCAGTGCAATGGACATAATGTATTATACTAGCCCACTTTATAGAGATGAAGTAAGTATAATGATTACCTTATTTACAAACACACACACACACACACACACACACACGTATCATTGGTAGTACTCCTAAGAAGGTATCCTGAATGTTCAGACTAAAACGTACTGAGACGTGTCCCCAAAAGTAATAATAAGGGTTTGTTTTTGTTTTTTAAGTTGACATTAATAGCAACAGAAGCTAGAAAGAGAAAAGCGTCAGACTCAAACCTCTGGCCATTGGCTAATGACTAAGAAAGTGGTCACTTCTATTTTGCTCTTATAATCTTTAAAGATAATTATCCTCAGGATGGAATTAAATAGAAGATATTTAATAGGAAGAGGGAAATGGAAAGAGAACACCCAGTGTTTTAAATTAGTTTTTTATTCAGTTGAATTTCATGGAAAAGCGCTCAGAACTTGTGACTGAGATTCATTAGCAGTCTTTAGCAATGTTTCCTGAATATCCCTAATAAGATGAATTACTTGGGCCCTAGCTGGTTTGGCTCAGTGGTCAGAGTGTTGGCCTGCAGATTGAAGGGTCCCCGGTTCGATTCCAGGGGGCGTGCAGGAGGCAGCCAATTTATGATCCTCTCTCATCATTGATGTTTCTATCTCTCTCTCCCTCTCCCTTCCTCTCTGAAATCAATAAAAATATATATTTTAAAAAAAGATGAATCACTTGGGGTGCTCATTAAAAATGCAGGCATGGCCAAAACCGATTTGGCTCAGTGGATAGAGCGTCGGCCTGCGGACTGAAAGGTCCCAGGTTCGATTCCGGTCAAGGGCATGTACCTGGGTTGCGGGCACATCCCCAGTAGGAGATGTGCAGGAGGCAGCTGATCGATGTTTCTCTCTCATCGATGTTTCTAACTCTCTATCTCTCTCCCTTCCTCTCTGTAAAAAATCAATAAAATATATTTAAAAAATAAAAATAAAAAATAAAGATAAAAATGCAGGCATAAAAGAACCCCATGGGGAAACCTTGGAATTTGGGATATTAATGTGAATTTATGATTTGAAAATAAGTGGGTGTGTATAGATATTATCTATATATTTAAGTGTATATTGTTTATACCTGCATATATTTCCTACTTCTGTTCACTGAAAGGGCCAAGGAGCTGACATTCCAATCTAATGAGCACACCTAGTACTCACATCTTTGCCCCTAGAATTCCCCACCAAGAAGAACTAGAGTTACTTGGAAAAAATGGCTGGTTCTAGGGCTGGGACAGGATAGGTATAGGTCAAAGCTAAAAACAACTTGTTATGACAAAAAGTAGGAAAATGTTCAGAAGAATGATGGGGCAGGTCACAAGGTCAGGAGTCAAATTTTAAAAAGCAGATCCTGCCCTGGCTGGTTTGGCTCAGTGGATAGAGCGTTGGCCTATGGGCTGAAGGGTCCTAGATTCGATTTCAGTAAAACACACATGCCCAGGTTGTGGGCTCGATCCCCAGCAGCGAGTGTACAGGAGGTAGCCGATCACTGATTCTCATCATTGATGTTTCTATCTCTCTCCCCCTCTCCCTTCCTCTCTGAAATCAATAAAACTATATTTTTTTTAAAAAAATCAGACCCCCCCGGCCATATCTGGAACAACTTGAGCACAAAATAAAGTAATTATTACTTATTGTAAGGAATTAATAGTACTTTTAATATAGAATTATAATAAGGATAATATAATAAGGGAATTGTAAATCATTGAGAAATTTGTAAGTTAATATCAATTACAAATAGATAAACAAACGGGGTAAGGGAGGTCCTTTGCTTACAGTAGAATGCCACAGGCTTACTATTAAATGTGGAGGGAATGCTGGAGTTGTAAAATCCTCAATTTACAACTATCATGGTAGGATCAAATAAGAGTGGTCTGGGCAAGAATCATCCACGGATGCTAACTTGAGGGCAAGTTTTGATGAGAACAGGATGTTTGCATGGTCTTACTGTGTATTCTCATAGACTGCTTATGAATTAAAAAATGAGAAAAGGTATAGAGTGGGGAAACCAGGGGACACCTTTAATAGGGTGTCACTGAGGGACACTCAGGACACAGTATCATTTATGCAGTATACCAGTCCTGAGGAAGCACCAGGCAAACACAAAAGGAGGATGTTCTCATTAAAAAGTAGAATGGGATTGTGTTCTTTCCAAATGTCACTATTATAAAAGACAAAGAATGGCTGTGGAAAATGTTCCAGACCAAAGGAGGCCAAAGAGACCTGATAGCTAAATACATCCCATCCTGCACTGTATTCTGCACCGGTTAGGGTAAAATGCTACAAAGGATTTGTTCAATCAACTGACAAAATTTAAATGTTGATATTTGATTAGATGAAATATTTTATCAAAGTCAATTTATGAAGTTGATAACTGCAATATTCCTAGTCTTAGGAAATATACACTGGAGTTTTAGGGGTAAAGGACCATGACATCAATAAATATATCCTCAGATGTATTTTTTTAAAAGGTGTGCATGTGTGTGTGTCCTTGTGTCCGTGTGCCTGTGTGCGTGTGTGTGTGTGTTACATAAACAGAACAAGTGATAAAATAGGCTAAAAATGCTAATAATAGGTGAATATTGGGTGAAAGGTATATGGATGATCATTGTACTATTTTTATTTTGCAACATCTTATAAATTTGAAATTATTTTTGAATAAAAAGTTAAGAAAATGACTAAAAGTTTCCCAGGTCCCTTCCCTGGCAATTGATTGGAGTCAGTGGATCTGAGGTAGAGTCTGTATATTTGGTTTGTGTTTTGAACAGTTCCCCAGGTGATAGCATCAGAGAAGTTTGGGAAATATTGTAAGGCAGTGTGAAAAGCGAAAGAAAACCAGAAAAACTTAGTGAGAAGTGGGCAAAAATTGTTCGTAATTTTGAAAAGGAAAACTCATTCTGCAAATCAAAGTCCACTTAGTACAAGGTTGGTGTTAGGCAGTATTTTAGAATAAACTATTCCTCAGCAGCCTACATTTCCTTAAGGAAGTTGTGATAAATAACAGCCAGCAGTTCTCTAGGATTCATTCCTGCCTAGGCTAGTGAATGAACCTTGTTAGGTTAATTGGTAGGCATATGAAAACCTTTTTCCCCTTCCTCTCAGCCTTTGGAATCAAATAGATACAGATTCAAAACCTGCCACTTAACTAGCTATGTGACCATAGATCCCATTTCTCACGTTCTTAGCTTCCTCACTTATAAAATGGACATAAAATACGTACCAGATAATGGTTGCCATGAGGATTAAAGATATACAGGGTGAGGCAAAAGTAGATTTACAGTTGTTCATAGGAAAATAACACAATCTATATATATAAAAGCCTAAGCAACCTAACGACCAGCTGACCAGTCGCTATGAGGCATTGACCACCAGGAGACAGATGCTCAATGCACAGGATTGGGCCTGTGGGGATTAGGCTCTCTCCTGTCTGGATGAGGCCTGCAGGGATTAGGCTGAAACCAGCTATCCGACATCTCCCAAGGGGTCTGGGATTGCGAGAGGGCACAGGCCAGGCCAAGGGACCCTACCAGTGCACAAATCTGTGCACCAGGCCTCTAGTAATAAATAACGATGTAAGAACAAACTATGTGCTTCATGTACTCACAACTATAAACCTACTTTTTACCACCCTGTATATAGTTTCCAGTACAATTTTTTGTCCTTAGATTTTCATCTTGTGATTAAGTGTGTATATGTATTTCAAGGGCTACCATTTTTTTTTTAAAAAGGAATGGACCTTTTCTTTTTTTAATCTTCACCCGAGGATATTTTTTCTATTGATCTTAAGGGAGAGAGAGAGAAACATGGATGTGAGAAAGAAACATCAACTGATTGCCTCCTGCATGCATCTTGACCAGGACCAGGGATCAAACCTGCAAACTGAGGTACATGCCCTTGACTGGGAATCGAACCCTTTGGTCCGTGGACCGATGCTCTAACAGCTGAGCAATCAGCCAGGGCTAGACTTGTGTTTTTTAACTCTAGAAATAAGTGCAGTTAGTATCAGATTATAGAAAATACCGAAAGGCTCTAGACGGTATTGCTTAATGGTTAGAGCATCAGCCTGCACACCCAAGGGTCTTGGGTTCAACTCCTGTTTAAGGACATGTACCTGGGTTGCAGATTTGATCCCCGGCCCTGGTAGGGGCAAGTGTGAGAGGCAGCTAATCAATGTGTGTGTCTCACATCGATGTTTCTCTCCCTCCCTCCCTTCTCTACTTTATTAATGGAAAATATATTCTCAACTGAGTATTAACCAAAAAAAAAAAAAGAAAAGAAAGAAAGAAAATATGGAAAGGAACACACTTGTTTACTAATGAAGGACTTTGTAATAACTAAAGCTGCCTTTAAAAAATAAAAGTATCACAAGGTAAACAGAAATTGCATATAATGTGAAAGTGATGGGTTTTAACTAAACTTTATTGTGTTGATCATTTAACAATATATACATATCTCAAATCATGTTGTATGCCTTAAATTTATATAATGTTATATGTCAACTATAGCTCAATAAAACAGAAAAAATGTTTTTAAATAGAAGTGACCACTGTAGAGTAGAGATAGTTATTGGGGTGGATGCTGAACAGCTTATCAGGGATGGTACTGAAGGGACTCCTCCCTTCATCACAGTTTAAATTAGCTCATCTCCAAGGTTCCTCTTCACTCCAGATTCTGAGGTGCTCATGGGAGCATTCTAACTCATGACTGTGCAAATAATCACTAAAAAAAAAATGGTTAGAGAAAAAGTGTAGTGTATAAATCAGTACTTTGCAGGTTACACTTTCTGATGACCAGTTTCTAAAACAGAACTAATATCAGACTTCCAAAATAACATTATAGAGCCATTGGCCCTTACTTCAGCCTTAAATAAAGTAATGTGAAAAATCAGAGACAACCATACTTCTTGCACACAACTGAACTCTCTTTTCAATAGCATTAAAAATGAAGAATTACAAAAAAAATAGTTATGGCAGTATCTTGTCATTGTTATTTGAAAATTGTTTAATTGAATTCTATTGTAATTAAGAAACATAGTTTTATTTTAAAAAGAAATTTAATTGATATATATAACTAAAACTGTCTAAATAATTTTTTTCTCATTAAAATTTCCTGAAGCAGGGAGGACAAAGGATTAATTATAGTCGTCAGCCATGTTTTATATGTTTGGATTTTCTCTTAAAAATGCTGGGATTTTTCCTTTTGGATTGATTTTCCTCATACATTTTAACTTTGGGGCAATGGTTATGAGATTTAAAAACTCTTAAGCTTTTGAAAGGCCATCTAATGCCTACTTTGTAAAAGGTTAGTTGACTTAATTAGATAATATTGTAGAGCTAATAAAATTAAGATTATAGGATATATCATTAATCTTGGTCCAGATGTCCCAAATGAATATACTTGGTCACAAAGGGATCCTAAGGTTGGAGAATATAATTGGATCAGATAGAAAAAAGGAAACCTAATTAGAAAAACCTAATCAGAGTAGACTCTTTAGATGCAACAGGGAGGTGGATTTCTCCTTTTGCTGCTAAGTGGATGATTTATTAAAGCATTTAGAGAAGTTGGTATTTTAAAAAACAAACAGATTAAGTACCTTTTGCCAGAGTACTTAAGTATATCTTTTAGTGTTTCTAGGTTTACATGGTAAGTGTCTTAAAACAAGGCCTTCAAAAGTAAAAACTATTAACAATTGTTGCTTTTAAAGGAATTAATTTTTATCTAAACATTCACTTTTTCTACACCTTTAGATTATAAATCAGGAAAATGATAAAAACGTTGAGTTTGTTGATGTTCTTATCAAAGCCAAACCATTATATTATCAGAACTAAAACATTACATTATAGCTCACTTTGAACAGAGCATGTACTTTCATATCACACTACCTACTCCTGAAACTGTTTTGACTAGAATTACTGACAGCCCATGTCTTAGAAGGCTTTTATATGCATTTGCCACTAAAGCAGTAATTCTGGGATGGAGCCTAGTAATCTGTATTTAACAAGCCTTCTAAGTGATTCTGCCGCACATTGAAAGTTGGAGAACCGTTGATTAAAGCATGGAATTGTTTTGCTTTTCCTAAGAAAAAAATTAAAATGTACAATTAAAGTAAAATGTTTGCATTTCTCCTTAGAGAAAGGGTAGCTTATCATCCTTCCACATGCTACCAGCTCATCTTATCCTTCTCTTCCTTCATTAGCTGAATATATTTCATCAGACCCAATACATGGTTTCAGTAGCTTTAACCAAACCCTCATTGTTGCTTGTAGAGTTCTGAGATGTCAACAAAGAGAACACCATGACTTCATTCATGTCACTGCTAATCCTGCTACGCATGAATGCTCAGATGATTTTCAGTTTGTGAGCAGGTAGAGAATGTTCAGTAAAATATGATGGAGTCATATTTGAAAATGGAAGTCACACATAACTAATATTTGTATGTTGGAGTAACAGCTGGTATAAGTACTGAAATGAAAAATTAAATATCAAGCAGGAAATTTACCATTAATTATAGTACCCAGCAATGATAATGAAGAGTAGAGAACTGCCTTCAAACACAGGTCAGGACCCAGTATGGATTTGAGTAACAAAAAAAAACTTTTTCTTCTGACTTCCTGGCATATTTCAGCAATGTTTGTTAAAGCTAAATTTCAAAGAAAACAGTTTTACAAAGAAAAATGACTAAAATACTTCCCACATTATGAACCCCTAAACCTTAAAAAGCTCTGCTTTCCAGCCATGTAAAACAACTGTTTACTCGTATCTTTATTACCAACTTTTGGGAATTTTGAAATATCAAGTAGATCGATGTTAGCTTTTCTTTAATCATACAATGACATTTTATTCCATCATTCTTATCTAAATGCACAGTGTAATAATATATATACTACATTCGTATACCTGTTATTGTAAACTCAATTAAGGCCTAAAAATTACAAGGTACAAAAATTTAGAATTGCATGGAAGTTGCAGTGAAGGAGAAATTTCCAGGGGCTCTTTGAAAATCTTACTGGAATCTTCGTGAACCTTTTTTGCTTAATGTACAGAACTGCTGGCTCATATAGCATGCTTAAGGATTATGAATGAATCTGTGTAATATCTGCCTTTATTCTTTAGTGATGATATAGATTATAATAATACATATCTTCATTTCCTGCAATGTTTTAAGGCATCTGTGTTAATTTTAATAACCTAGGTATATTTGGCCAGTAATGTATGTTTAGAAATAGAGTTCAGAGTATCTGTGATTACTCTAATATGATAATGTTCTCTTATTTCAAACAGCTAGTTAAAGGCCTTCAGCAAGAGCTGAATCGATTATATTCCCTTTTCTGTTCTCGGAATCCAGACTTTGAAGAAAAAGGGGGTAAAGTCTCAATAGTGTCACATTCACTGGGATGTGTAATCACTTATGACATAATGACTGGCTGGAATCCAGTTCGATTCTATGAACAGTTGATGGAGAAGGAAGACGAGTTGCCTGATGAAGAATGGATGAGCTATGAAGAACGACACCTTCTTGATGAACTCTACATAACAAAACGACGGTAAAAATACTCTAGTATTTAAAATCTCTTCATGGAATTGCTGGACTTCTTAGGAGAAAACTTTAAGATTTTCATGATAAAGAAAAACTACATTGTTCAGGGTACAAAAATTACTAGATAACATGGCTAATCAAGGAGAGACTGTTTTCATGCTAATTATATGCATTTTCCTGTAGCATAAAATAAATGGTTTTGTCATCTGCCTCTTTTTCTTTCTGCCTGTCCTTCACAATTTCTTAGGAGTGAAATCTAAAACTTATTTCAAGCTGAGTCACTATGTAGAATCCTTTGTTAGTTTTACTAATCTTAAAGAATGTGCCCTTACCTATCTTAATCTTAGAAATAATTTTCAAGCCTTTTTTTTCCTTGGTAAATCTGTTTTTGACAGATTTTATAATTATCTGATCACTTGTGGCCTTTCTGGATACTATCGTTTAGTTTGCTATACCCCTCTCTTCATCGGTAGTTACATGCTCTTTCTTTGTCCTTTTAATAACTATCCAATCAATTTTAATAAAACAGTGAAAAATCACTCATTTTGGTAGTTAGCATTATATAAAAATCACCAATTTATATAATACCCAATTTTTACTCAGGAAGCCTTGGGTTTGTTTCAATCTTATGGAAGTTTAAGGGTTCTATATAATCTTAGTCAGCACCAGAATAGATACATAAAGTTTACCGTGGCAAAATAATTTATAGTTTTGAAAGAAAATTTCATGTTGAAAAGCCTCAGAACAGCATTTTAGATATAAAATCCAGTAAGAAAAAAAAATTAACAGCTTATAAAATGAATTGCACCCTTTTTTTAAAACTTAGTTCTATTGTTTATTAAATGTAAGTAGATATGGAACATTTAATGGGAAAAATTGAAATAACTCAAATGTTCACTAGCAAAGAAGGGTTGAAAAAACTATGGTTCGGCCGAAACCAGTTTGGCTCAGTGGATAGAGCGTCGGCCTGCGGACTGAAAGGTCCCAGGTTCGATTCCGGTCAAGGGCATGTACCTGGGGTGCGTGCACATCTCCAGGGGGTGTGCAGGAGGCAGCAGATCGATGTTTCTCTCTCATCGATGTTTCTAACTCTCTATCTCTCTCCCTTCCTCTCTGTAAAAAATCAATAAAATATATTTTTTTAAAAAAACTATGGTTCGTTCATGTAATAGACAATTACACAGATGTTAAAAAGATTAAAGTAGATCAGGAAGTAATGAAATGAAAAGATCTCTAAGATTCATTAAGTATAGAAAAAAGAAAGAATAATGTATATGGTATGAACATTTAGTGTGATTTTTTAAGGTATACATATATATATGTATATGTATGTATGTATGTATATATGCTGTTTTTATTGGTTTTTGTTTGCTTGTTTTTTTGAGAGAGAGAGGAAGGGAAAGAGAGAGATAGAAACATCAATCGACTGCCTCTTGCACACCCCACCTACTGGGGATCAAGCCCAAAACCCAGGCATGTGCCCTAACTTGAAATCCAATAGGGACCTCTTGGTTCATGAGATGAAGCTCAACCACTGAGCCACACCAGCCACGCTATAAGTATGCTTTTATTTGCCTCACATTTTACTAGAGGATCCACCAAAAAATACTAACAGCAGGTATTATAAAGAGTAGGAATACTTTTACTAATTATTTTATAAACTTTTATAGACTTTCTGTACTACAGCAGGTGCATTTATTAAATACTGTCAATAGGGATTGATTTTGAGGGATTAAATAATAGGTCTTTAATTCTTTATACGTTAGTGAACTAGTGAGCATTTAATATTTATGAAACCATAAATACAAATGTGTAAATAATTTTATACTGCTTCCTAGGCTGAGAGAAATAGAAGAAAGGCTAAATGGATTGAAAGCATCATCTATGACACAAATACCTGCCTTGAAATTTAAGGTAAGAAAAGACTGATGAGATTTTCATTATCTGTCTCACAATTTTTCCAAACAGCATTTGCAGCATGACATTATGATTCAGTGAAATCTAAATTATTGTTCTTTCAAATTAATATTTATTAAACACATGTTATATGTTGGACATTGCTAGTTTCTGGATTCTACAAAGAAAAGAATGGACAAGACAGTTCCCCAGCCCTTAGGATATGTAATACAGTGTTATTGGCAGTATGCAGAATGATGTATGTATGAAAAGGGGGTTTTAATTTTGGCTATAAAGGATTACAAGGAAATGACACTTATACTTGTTATCAATAAACTGGAATGTTGCCAAGTGGAGGAAAGGAAAATGCTATTCTGTGTAAAAGAAAGAACATAAAGATATGGAGGGATATAACGTTAGTAACTCCAAGAAAAATGAAGTAATCTCAAGTAGTGGGGGGAAAATAAGAGGCAGATCTGGGAAATGTTTAGTATTTAGAATTAAAAGCCTTAGTGACCAGCTATTTGTGGGTGGTAAGAAAAATAAGTGGATGATTCTAGGGATGGAAAGCTGGCATTTCAAGCAATGAAAAGTATGTAACCAAAGCACAAGATGACACACGTGGTTAGTTTTGGAGCAGGTTGAGCAAACCAGTTGGGCTGTCATGGACAGGACTCAAGGCAAGGGGGCTGTGGAAGAGCTAGAAATAAAGAACTTATATTTGATATGTACAATGGGAAGCTTTTTAGGGGGTTTGAGCACCAAAATGGAGCTGTCAAAAGCAAATCACAGCCCTAACTGGTTTGGCTCAGTGGATAGAGCGTCGGCCTGTGGACTGAAGGGTCCCAGGTTCGATTCCGGTCAAGGGCATATACCTTGGTTGCAGGCACATCCCCAGTAGGGGGTGTGCAGGAGGCAGCTGATCAATGTGTCTCTCTCGTTTATGTTTCTAACTCTCTATCCCTATCCCTTCCTCTCTAGAAAAAATCAATAAAAATATATTTTTTTAAAAAAGCAAATCATAGGAACTTAACATACAGGTTAAGTAATGGAAAGATGCAGAATTTTTTTAAATAGTAAGAATTTGGGGGAATGCTTTGTAAAGTATATGATTATCTAACCACTATGCTGTATACCTGAATCTAATACAAAATTATATTGCATGTAAACTGAGGATTAAAAAAAATAGTTTCACATTACTAGAAATTATGTACTATAATTGTGTATCTTAATATAAAGTCATGTGTAGTCTAATAATATGGATTTTTAATTGCTATTTAATTACTCATAGAGGAAAAGTAAATAAATTTGAAGTTTAAAAAGGAATATCTGATGAATTGGCAAATTAATATTTAGGACTCCAAAGTTCTAATTTCTGTGCCTATTAATTAGCAGATAGATTTACTTTCAGAATACAGGTGTTAGATCTGTTATGGGTGACCACTGAACTTCATAGAAGAAAAACATATTGACAAACTTTGGTCTGGAGAGTGGGAAACTTTGATTATGATCATGAGGCTTTGCCACTAACTAGTAATGTAACATTAGCCAAATCATTAAACATCTCTGAATTCATCTGTTTAGTCATCTCTGGGCAAGGACGATAGACTAAATGTCTAAAGCCCTTTTTCATCTTTAAAATTCTTTGATGGATATAGATATCACTAAAGCAGTCATTAGTCTTCTCTGAGAATATTCCTTTATTTGTCAAACTGCTGACCAATCATAAACAAAGAAAGAAAAGTTATTTATTCCATGGATTGAACCATTTTACAAACATTTGTGATGTGTCTGACCAATGCATAAAGCATTTCGCTATAGTATGCATGTGTGCATCTGTGTATATCAAATAGAAAGGATTTACATAGCTTTCTCTTCTAGCTCTACTCTTTAAAAAAAATTTCAATATATTTTTATTGGTTTCAGAGAGAGGGAGGGAGAGAGGAATAGAAACATCAATGATGAGAGAATCATTTATCGGTTGCCTCATGCACGCCCCTACTGGGAAATCGAGCCCACAACCCAGGCATGCTTTATTTTTTCTTTCTTTATAGAAGAAACTGGCCTTGTGCACAGATTCGTGCACATTGAAAAGAAATTAATTAGAAGAAATATTTTAATATCGCTATTCATGTCTTGCTAATGAAAAGAAAATAGGATTCTACCGAATCTCCTATCTACCTAATCCAGGACTTCTGTGAGGATCAAATGAGATGAGGCATGGGAAAATGCTTCTCAAACATTTGATTAAACTGTAAAATGTTTGCACCTGGCTATAAAGCAAGTTGGGTTCCTGGGCTGAAGAAACTCCAAGGATGCTAGTCGCTAGGGAGAGGAAGCCAGGCATTGCTATGTGACGTCATTACCTGGTGCCCACAGCGACCATTTCCAGGCTGGGCTGGGCTGTGGATCGCATTTTGCGCCATGGGGTCTTGGCAGCATTGGCTGCGATTTGGTGGGGTGTCGCTCCGGGTTGGTTCCTGTGTTCCACTTGGTGGAAGCAAAGTGTTGGTTTGTCGGCGCCAAGTCCATGGTGCCATTTATTTTTAAATGGCCAGTGTGCATCATGGCAGCTCCTGCATTGAGCACCTGCCCCCTGATGGTCAGTGCACCTCATAGCTACCAGTCAGATGGACGGACACTTATCCTTTTATATACGTACTAGAGGCCCAGTGCACGAAATTCGTGCACTGGAGGGTGGGGGTTCCCTCAGCCCAGCCTGCCCCTCTCACATTCCGGGAGCCCTCAGTGGATGTCCTACTGATGGCCACAGTCGGGCAGCAGAGGCTCGGAGCAGGCATCCCGTGTGTGTGTGTGTGTGTGTGTGTGTGTGTGTGTGTGT